CCAAATTACTATTATCCAATGAGCTTTAGACAGCGACTCTGCAATTTAGCTGAAAAGACCTCCATCCGCTCATTCTACTTGTGCCAAAATAGTCCACATTTCATATTCACCAGCCATGGGGTGCTGAAGTTTGATCCTTCTGTTGTTTTGGTCTAGCAAAACTTGCACGCATTAGGAGCCACTAATAAATTGAACCATTTCGATTTCAGAACCTTTTCCCGTTTCACCACATTGGAGCAAAAATATTCGTGGGAGGTGGGAATTGAGGGTGAGCGAGGTAAAGTTGATGAGGCAAAGTTAAACAGTAGGAATGAGAAAGCGAAAATAAAGAAGTTTAAAGGCTGTTAATTAAAAAAGAAGACAATCCTAAATTGATGCCATGTTATTTAGTGTAGATGAATGATTCCACATCATAGATGCACTAAATTCACAATCATGCCAGTTTTTGCTATTAGCTGTCAACGTCAATTGTGGTGCGATTCTCGCATCGCCAAGAAAACAATCGAAACGTACAGCACACTGCATGACAAGAATGTTTGAGCTTGAGCTGACCGTGCTGCCATGTAAAAAAAGTAAAATACTTAAGTATTAACGGGTTAGCCGAAGGGAAAACGGTTCAATTTTAGATGGCGCCAGTGTGTTACAGACAGTATTTGAATTTCAATGGTGGTGATAAAGACAAGGAAACTTGCACAACAAGATATTTTTAAGACCGTCATGCTAAATTCCAAGCGCGCAAAATTGACGGATGGCTCTGCTTTCTGTTGATTTTAACTTTATGGGCTGCAGTTGTTAGATGTGAGATCGGTAATTTCTAATCTTTTTGACAAACTGCCTAGTGGTGGAAAGTTGCTGTCGCAGTAGTGAATAACAAGAATTAAACTTGTGCATTTATCAAATAGTAGTGTAAACCTAGGTCTATTCACTAATGCAAGTTAATTTTGCATGGGCTTAGCATTTTACGAGATCACAAAATATAGCGAAATACTTCAATGGCTTCTGAGGTGATTTTCAAAATTTGCTTACACCCACATTCTTCGATGGGAATAAACTTTACCTTTAAGGTGCCCATAAGTCACCATTCGCAGAATACGAGTGATGATTTGTGCGAATGCTGGAAGCATGATATTTGTCCCCTTCCTAATTCTCTGTCCAACAGGATTGCCGTTTAGCTGTCTAGTAAGATGTAACCTCTGCATTGGGTATATGGCCCAAGCCGTAACAGATATCTCGTTCAATTTGATTTGCTACATATTCATACATTTTTTAATTAGTCTTGTAGATTGAAAGGAGAGACAAAGGTACAAAGAAGTATGGACCCGTTTTGTCAGGGTGAAGCCTGCAGCGTGGTAGTTTTGATAGATCCACCCGACGCTTAGTTACGACAAAACAATAAATGTCTTTAGCTGGTTGTCTATCAAATGCTACCTTACCGTGGTAAACCTCCGAAGAGGAAAGATAAAATGTCAAGAACTTATAAATTGTCCTTAATTTTTGAAGAACTTATTGTTCTCCGTCCAGAAGCTGACGGAATCCTTGCATGAGCAAATAAGTGTATTACTTAATTTTTCTCAACCTTTTTCCCATTTTACTTGATTTGTATCAAATTTGGTAAATTTTTCATTTTAATAAGATTTCTTACATCATTTAACTACTTGTTATTTAATTGTTGGCCCCTGTACTCATTTAAGTAAATAGCATCAATACGAAACCTTGACTGTCATTATTAAGCAGCTATTCCATCTAAGCCATATTTTCTGTTGCCAAGTCTTTAATCCCGTATTTTTCTTTTAGCAGTACCAAGTAGTTACATACCCACCTAAAAACCCATTTCTGTCTCTACATTTCCGATCGTTGTTTCTCTAATGTTTCTTTAACCAATAACCTCCACATGTCCACCCTCATTGTTATTCGAATTGGGGGAATCAAAGCGGCTTTCACAGGAATTAAATTGTCACTTTTGCATGGTAGCAATACACTCAAGTCTATGAAGTGCAAAAATGATGTTTTATTTATAGTAATGCACACGACTGCAGACAGACTGGATTGGAATAACTGGCACTGTGAAATGGCGTAAAATAAAACAATGGCGCCTATACTTCAAAGTCTCATTCTCATAGCGAATTTACGCACACATTAGATGTATTGTCCTTTCGTAAACACTTCCAAACTTCATCATTTTCCCCTCGTTTTTCAGCCTTTTTGGCTTATAAGCCATTGAGTGCTCTTATTGGGATCAAAAATGTGTGCTTTCAAATCTTATCAGATGAGACGAAAAAGGTAAATTGCGTAGGAATTAGAGAGTTTCGTGGATTTTGTATGCTATTTAACTCAATAAATAAGTATAATTAGCCAAACATTAACCAGGGTTCTTTGATGCAACAGGTAGTGTTCATGCATCACTACTAATCGTTCTTACAGAGTTGTCGAATTTAGCATTCAACCCACTTCTCTTAGACAAACCCACTAACATTCAGTTGCTCTAGCATCTTCTTATTGAAAGAATGTTCTAAGTTTGCAATATGTGCTAGCGGTACTGGATAATTTTTAACTGGTCATCCTGCAATCGCAAATTGATGGCTTCGGTCGCCCACAGGCAGCTGTCCTGAGGACCGAGTTATTTAAATTGAAACCTTCACTAAACAATTGCAAATTTGTTCCTGTTACCTATTCTTTTAAATTGGTGAAAGCAAATTATACGCTGCATCATAATACGTGATTACGCCTTGATAATATTAAAAATAATTTCTGTTGGTCAAACATTAGAAAATGAATTAAAGTTAGGTGTACATATACTGGCACTATAGCATTTTGACTGGATCGACTGCATTTTTTGCGCGTACGTAGGAAAAGTTGCTTCCTAATTGATTCCTTTGTATTAGAATCCCTACAAATGCTATCTTTCCGAGGTATATTATTACACATATTAAGACATGCCGAACGTAAAAGCTGTTGTGAATTAAGGAACCGTGTAATATGAATCGCACTTGAGCATTTACAAATATGACCCACCTAGGGGTTTTAGATACTTTACAAACAAATCTCCACACATATTCTAAAAAACTGCACGAAATGCTTAAGAAGGTGAGCTAAAGCCCGCACATGCAAGGTTGATCCAATTATGAAGGAAAGGACGTCCATCTTTTATTGCATCTATGCTTATGTATGGGGCATATAGAGAGATGCTTGACCCCGGAGACAAATAACACAGCACCATAACAAAGGAAACTGAAGAGGAAGAAATAAGTTTATAAGTAGTAAATATTGTTTCTCATAAGGTCGATGTTTTAAACAGATAAAATGACTGGTGAACATTTGGTATTAGATTTTAAATATGTTCACTCACCAAGCCGCAAAAATAATGGTCGCCTTATCAAATAAATGGCGTCAAGTTTCGCCATTGGGACTCCCAACTTGTTGAGACTCAGGTAAATTCATTTCTATACGGCAACTGCTACATTTCACATAACAGTAGTTCTGCATAAATAGGTCACCATTTTTAATGAACAAGTGCAAACTAGACTAAAGAAAAGCATTAACCGCTTACGATAATTTTAAACAGCAAGGCATTTTGCCACATTTTGTATAAAAAATTATGCTAAGCATCTGTAAACTAGGGGACGTGGAAAAGATACATTAGCTTTCACATTAAATTAAGCTTGAAAGATGGGAAAATGCCTACGAGGGTGGCTTGAACGCATGTGCACTTACTGTGTATCCCGAGTTTCGTAAAGCCGTCCCTTCAGGGAAGGTGTGGTTCTGAGTCTTTCATTTTCTGATCTGCAGCATGTAGCAAAAATAAGCATTTGGTTGATGTTTGCTTGAGAATGAGAAATTATTGAGCATAAAGGGGACAAGTTTGATGTAGTCAACTTGAAACGTCTGCAAACTTACAAATTGTGTCTCCAGTAAAGTGATTGGGAGGAAATTCAAGCGTTGTAGTCTGTGTCTACATTCAGGAATTGAAAGCAGAACAATAGTAATTTGAAGTCACTTTCCGAAATTCCTTCAATCTTTTATGCAATAAAACTGCATCACTAATTACTTATGCTACACATCAAACTGGACGAACCCCAAAAAGTCTATAGAAGTATTTAGGAAATATCTACGGAAATGAAGTGAGCAACAGTAGCAATAAGTTGCCATTGATTGCATCAAAGCAGCAATTTGGCTTTTCTCTTGGTCCTGTTTAATAATAACCTCAGGTACATTTATACATGCCTTGTAAAAGCGGCCGACACTTGCCTTGACGCAAGCGCTTAATTGGTGCTGGAAATATTGTGCCGCTATCGAATGACATGAAACATATTGAATGGAGGCATGCACTCATTCTGTCAAGGAATTAGCTAACAAGTGTAAAATTTTGAAGCAGTGCTTACACCGCACTCAGCTCTGTCCTCAGATCCAAATATGACCCATAAACAAATGCTTACCGGGTGCGTATTTTCTTTGAAAATTTAAAGTAAGTATTACTGTACCTATTCTGCTTCCTCGGTATGTTTATATCTGTTGCTACTTTGGACTAAATTGCTTTCTTCTTAACCGTAAGTTTGTCTGCTAGACTAAATTAGCCTTTTCTAAACATTACTTTGTCATATAGACTACTACCGGACTCATTTTAGCCACAATTTTTGCCATACGTGAAGGCGACAAGATTTCAGACGTCAAGAGCACTGTCCGAGTCAAAATTAGCTTTGTGGGTCAGAAATCGATGTGGAAAATTAGTCTTTGGTTCACTCGGCGAATCTTTCATACTCGCCCTTTGCAGCATAATGTCGATGTTGATGACAATGGCATCACCTGAATGGTAGAAAGGGGCTTCCTTTGACCACGCCTGCTTTGGCGATAGGGTCTATATGATTACCAAGTCTGTGTCAGATGTCAGTAGTTTTACATGGGCAATTATACTAATAGAGTAATAGACAATACGCGTGGTTGGCCATCAAAGAAGAGAGCAAAAACGTGGGGGAATTCGAGCATCTGCTATTGGCTAAGCAATATGTTAATATTTTATTAGAACCTAAAAGAGGTGTCCAGCTGCAGCGATTTCTTGCCTAACTCCAAATCGGTGATCCGTTTTGAGTCACGACTCTACTACTGATTAATTTTTATGCTATTATTCACTATGGGAATGGCATGGACATAATATTGATGTTCCTACTAGTGTTTCAACTAGCTTTTTAACGTGTTAAATGAGGAGTACATGGCTAAGTAACTGAAACTTCCACTTGGTTGGCAATGTAATTTGCATGCTGCTTGTGTTTCGCTTGCTAAATGTCCACTTTATACCATGGAAAACTCCCACCATTGACACAGCATAGTATTAATGCTCTTCGTTACATTTCCCTTGTTTTAAGTCATTTTGGTGATAGACGCTTAGCCACAAGCCCGTTGCAAAATCGTTTTAGATTTACCGAATTCTAACCCATAGGACTTAGTATTAGTACATTTGCCATCATCACACGTCAACTAAGACTGATTTCCCAAAATCACATGGTTTCATAACTTCTCTAGTTGTTCCTCTCAGCAGAGGAACTAGTTGATACTCTACCAACCTAAAATTTGCTGATTTTGTTAAATTTACAGCAATGATACAGATTCCTTCTTCTTACCAGCTAATCCAATGATGGTGAATTGGAGGCAAAATGTCAGCTTTTCAAATGTTTGCAAAAATCTGGTTAACATGGAAATTTTAAGCGCTAACTATTGGCACTAACTTTGATTAGAAGAAGTCAAATGATGTCAACTCAGATTTGGGTGAGCATTAAATGGTAGTGCTTAGAAGCTATTCTCATTTGTCCATCAGCCGCAGAGTTTGTCTATTTAGTCATCAACGGAGAAATCCAGCGGCAGTCTTCCCAGCCCATACTAGTTACTCGACCATCATACGTGTAAATGCATGACTGTGTACAAAACCAAAACATAGAAGGGGATGCGATTTTATTCTGTGGGAATTGAGTATATCAGCATGTTAAAGACGGATTCGCGTAAATAAAGTAGTTTGCAAATTTACTCTAATATTATGGAGTAGTATGTTTTACCAAATGTACAATAAAAGCAAGCGACTACGCCAGTCACAACTTATTGAAGTGCGAACAAAAGAAAGACTCGTGAGGACTTAGAAAAAGGCCTTGCAAAAATGATTAATACAATTTGTCTGAAGTATCACAGACAGTTGAAGGACTTTATTAATTCAACGATGATATCTTCTCAGGCGATATGGCTTAACTTCTGAAAAGAAGTGCTTCAGAAACGTCCACCTCATTAGTCTATGAAACTTACTTTTTATTATAAGGTGTGGTGTAGCAATATGAACCGCAAATTCTATTACTACCGAAATCCGCAAGGAATATTGGGTCATTATCATTTGTATATTTAAAAAATACCCTGAGTAATTTTAGGAATGGTAATCTTTCTATCGTTTACCTCACCAATTTGGTTTTAGGTTACTGGAACGCTTTCTTGCCTGCGTGGTGTCTGAATGGTAGTACGGCATGCATTACAGTTCCGGTTCCTTCCATCAAGAACTTTTCTTAGATTAGTGTGCATAGGTTCAAAGCAGAACATCCAAACTAAAATTAGTTCCGAATGCACTATTTGACGTTAACCAACGCTAGTGAAGCTAAGGCCCTGCAGCAGATGCTCTCAGATGCTGTTTGGCTTGAGCACAAATGTCAAGAATGATACGCTTGCACCAAGTTGCGTCTCTTACCATTCATTCAAAAGCCAAAGACCACATAAACCTATGCAACCTGTGCAATTCGTAAACACCATGGAAGCAGCAAGCTTAACTAATCTTCAGGCACCAAGTGAGGGAGAAACACTAAAGCTAGCTGTAAAAATCCGCAACTATGGCAGGTCTATGTCATTTTAGACAGTAAAATGAGTGAAATTATTAAAAAACAAAGCATTTGCATAAACTTATATTTAATTGCAAGATTTCTTTAGGCATGCTTGTGTACTCTCTTTAAAGTTAAATGATTGATGTCGTCCTATAATATGTCGACACAGTAAAGGGATTTTGGATCTAGGGGTGTATACACGAGTTTGTGGTATCATGCACGATTTCCTCACACACACAAGTTCATTTACACACATAAAGTCATTTTTAATAAATGCAGAACTAAAGTCCATAAACAACATTCTGTTAGAGCCTTTACTCACATTTGCGAATGAATGGTTTCGCCAATTTTTGGGATTGTGGTCACTAAAACCGATAGCAGTCCACCATGATAGTTAATCTAGTACACTCCGTATCCACTTCGGTGCACATTTTTTACTTTATTACAAAAAAAAACAGATGTATGGACTTTTTGCAGATGATGCTTGGAAACTGCAGCAACTATTAACAGTGTACGGCTCATTTTCCTCTCATTCCTATTTATAAACACAAGATATCCAGATAGAAAGTCGCAGGTATACGCAAATTGCATTCATAAGTATGAGGCATGTTGTTGGGTAAATAACAATGATGTAATGCAAAAAAATACCACAGACTATTGCAAGGAGCAGTTGGTACTCCTCCTCCAGGCCTAAATTTAGAAGGCAGTGTTGAATAATTGCAGTTAAAGCGACACAAGAACCCACAACTACAAGGATTGTTTTAAAGCGTCCCTTAATGTACACCATGTGTCCCTCAGAAGACAGTCGGATGAGGTACACACTTGGATAAACATGGCTGGTGTTCCACGTTCATAGGGGTAAGGTCGACCAAAATACAAAAGTACATGTCAAAGATATGTGGAATGTAAGGTGATGACACTGATATGGATACCAGGTCATAGAGGAAACAATGGCGTTTGCAATAGCGAACCCACTTACATCGGCTTAAGACGCAGTTTTGACCACCCTTAACGAAGTCTCCAAAGAACCATGCGTCCACTATGCATTTTGAAACATCTCAGGGTAATCAGCTTGGGAGTAAATCGGGGTGTCGCTAGGCACAATCATTGTGTCCAGACTTGTAGTCTAGCAGCCCATCTATTGCTTTTAAGAAAACTCTTCTCGATTAGGGAAGACAATTCAATTGGTGTCACGTGTCTTATCACGCAAATGCTAAAAGTGTTAGTTGAGAGGTTCCTGCTTGCAAAGGCCAGCAAAATCTGTTGTTAATGTTGTAAAATTATGCATGAATTTTATAATCTCAATGTTCTAAAAGCCAAACTCGACAGGATTTAAATGCAACAATGCAAACAGACTTCATCATGCAGAGTTGAACGCAAGCCAACAGCATTGTTAACTAAGAAATTCAACTTCTTATGCAAAAGCATGCCGAGTTAGACCGCCAAATATTCAGCAGTGGGCAATGAAAAAAAGGAATTACTAATTCGACTACCTATAGAAAGAAGTAATGGGCGAAACTACATTTACTCTTTTGTATAGATGACCCATTTCCGCACCCATTGGGTAGTTGCTAGCAAGCCTATTTGGAATAGATTTTGAAACTGCACAACATTACTAATAAATGAAAAACGCTTTCAAGTTCTGCAGTTTAATTTGCCTACCATGCCGTTGAGTGGGAATGAATGCTGTACCCTATACACATTCGTCTAATTTTGATAACTTGTTAAGGTCGTTTATGCTTTTCCTCGATAGAATATGGACGAACAGTTTTGAAAGAGGCTTTAACCAAAATCCAAGGAAGGAGGTGCAATATCCAGGTCAACTTTCTTAGTTGCTTACCTATTAATTTCCTACAAGAGAATGAAATCAAATTGCCACTGCAAATGATCAGGATTTGATAAAGATTTGGACATAAGACACAACCATGTGCATGTTTCCAAACTCGGGCACCTTTAAGGTTTGCTGCACCTAGACTCCGCATGGTAGCAACTTTAACCCATTAAAGGGACGGAGATTGACAGATGATTGTGTAAATGTGCTTGATTGCGAGTGATTATTTTGCCTCTTATGGTCAATAACTTGGTAGACAGCATATGATTGTTTGACCAATGAGAACTCTCAACAAATGACGTAGGTGTCAAGATGCATTTCAGCGCCCTAAGTCAATACCATAGCTGCAGTAAATCATGCAAAACTAAATATTTTGTCATAACCACGAGTTCTTAAGATCAGTTTGGCCCTCCACAATTAGTTTTTTACATCAAATCGATCGTGTCAAAGTACAGAGAAGTCTAGATCATGGTGTTTGTGAAAGTTAAATGTTTTTTCTCGAAGGAGAAACCCCACACAAACATGCCATGATTGTTGAGCAATTCTATTTTGGTTGAGGTTTAGTCAACCAAAAGATATCGATACGAGACAGCCAAATATGGTCGCACTGCTTTATATCATTATAAAGAGGCGCGACTGGAAGAGCCTTCTTGTAAGGTTTGGGATTGGCCTAAGACGAGAAACAGGGTTGATAGGACTTTCTCCTGCATGAGATACTATGTTAGTAGAGGACCTAGTCTGGCTCCATCAAGGTGTCAGGTGTAATTTTCTTGGCCTTCGACAAGTGAACGAAACAGTTTGCAGGAATGCAACCGACCTATTATTTGTCTGTAAGGCAGAAAAATCGGGTCTCATCCATTATGCTAGACTGGACCGGCAAGAGCCGACCCGTATCGCCGGTACTGTAATGACAAATGCATGGACTATTTGGCCGCCTCATACTATATAGACCAAAAGAAGATTCAGAGTCACCACTTGCTCAATGACTTTCTGAATTTGCATAGATTTATTGCCTTTGCAATCGGCAATCCTCCCTTGAATAATAAATTCCAAGTCGTCTAATTGCCTTCTCATCTGTAATTACAACAAAACAATCTGCTGTTGGTATATTGGGAAGCAGCCTGTTTACGGTGAATTCTAGGGAAACAGTGACGAATGAAATGAGCGATATCGGAAGCTGCTGATGTTGGCTTCAGCGATGTTTGCGAACCCTCTTAGTGCTGCCACCAAAGTCACATGGACAAGTATTGAACAGGTATACGGACTGAGTGAGTATTTTTAAGGAGTGCCAAATTACGGATTTACCAGTGCTAACACATTTGACAAGAGGATGTACTTCTCTGTGTTAAAATCCGTTAAGGCTTGGTGTGCCACTTTTATTGCATCTTGTGCATTTGGCATTTCCCAAAAATTCCAAAGAATTTCTTCAAACTGCATCTTTAATGCATTTATGCCTTATCCAGGAAAACAATCGGCAAGTGGCCTCAGGAATAATGCAATCTATAACGAAAAGGTGCCTTTTCGTTGTCAAGCGATGAAAGCAACTGTAGTAGAGATCGCGGGATGTTTTGCACCTTTTCTATGTCACCACTCAAATTTCTCAGATTCATTTAAATGGTCAGAGCATTGACCTCCAACTTCAAAATGGCTGTTTTGAAAATTCTGGATAAAGCCGTCTCGATAGCTGCCACAGTTATGTTCATCTCTTCAAAAATTGGGAAGGACTGTAGTGTGACTTGCTCCTGTCTACCCAACAAACGAGTTCAAACTGTTCAGAGGTCATCAGCAGCCTTGTTTAGATCGGTGAGTTTCGTTAGCTTGCTGGATGCCACATATTCAGGCAAGGGTAGAGAAAAAGAAGCAAAAGAATAGCAATGTATACTCATGCACCTCATTAGGGGATTTTTAATCTTAGATCAGTTATAAAAACTGTAAGAGGGATATTTTCGATAAGTGCAGAGTAAAAAACGCTTAAATGACAGTAAGGAAAAGTAGAAAAGCAGAAAAGTTTCATTACTGAGTTAATCAGATACTTGCATCTGCGTCACCGACAATGTTTGCTGGTTTTCACATTCGTGTCCCAGAATGCACTTCAAGGTAAGACATTTCCAGAGACGTCCCTTTATTTTGTGCTTGTTGCATAATCCACAACGGAGTATGTAAAAAGGAGGGTGAGGTAGAAGAGTGAGAAAGAGGGAGGAGAGGAGTGAGAGCAATGGGTGTAGCAACGAGGTGAATGCACAATACTTGCTTTTGCCTCCACCACTACTTGCTGCGGTCCCTTCCGACGGCGAGTAGACATGGTAATGACCATCGCTTTGTTAACGGCTGTACGCAGTTCCAGTATCACAATCACTAGGGCGCCCTTGAGCTCCGAGGAACTCGACCCTTTCAGTTGCTGCGAAAGCAAATTCATGTTCTTCTCTGCATATATTATTGTCTGCTTCCAGATCTCTCCCTCGTTCTCCATATGCTGGTTCTGCTCTTACTGCTGTTCCTTCTCACTTTTCGTGCTTACTTCAAAACTGAGATCAGTGCCTGTTCAATCCATCACTTCATCGCACCGTCCTTCGATCGCCTTCTGCACCTTGATGGCATGTATCACCTATGTGGACTTATCCACAATTGGTTCTCAGACACTTGAGTTGGTGACTTAAAATTACATTGTTTTACTTTAAGATGTGATTAGTTCCCCCCTTAAGGTAAACAGCGTTTTCGAAGCTGTCATGCTTACAGGTTACACAGATGAGGTAATGGCATGCAAACCACAGCTGTCCTGCAGGCGGCTGCTCAGAAGATGCATGAGCTATAGCAACCATCGCGACTAAGAGGCGAGATGCGTTTCAAATTTTGTAGAATGTGATTAAACATCAGTTACCTCAAGGATTTAACACGACAGGTCAGATACACGTTTACGTAGTCTTCATAAAGGTCAAGAATTATGTTATATGCATGTCCTAGATGGATAGATTTGAGAAAATAACTTACACAGCTATCGATGCCGATTCGTTTGCAAAGGCACACAAGGTATACATAGGTAATGACAAACTTATATGCAACAAATTGCAGTCATTTTCCAACATCTCAACTGGCTTTCCAAGTCATCAGTATAGCATCAGCACCTAAGACAGTTAGAGATCTGGTGTCACTGGTTTTGCAATCAATCACATCTCTGATGGTATGAGTGTCTAATGGCTATGTCTAGGTGGGGCAACAACTAGTAGTGTTGTTTAGAAGCAATCACTAGCAATACAAGGAAACCTCCCCCTATGCACATTGGAATGGCAAACTGTGGTTTTGCAGCTTTTGTCGTTACTGACACTAATTCATTCATTTATAGGAAAGGTAGGGATAGCGCAACATGACCACAGATGCGTCCTGGTCGCAAGTCGACATGATGCCGTGGACTAGGGTTGACGTGAATCGGGCATGGTCTGCTGGACATTATTCAGACACTAGCCGTCCGTAGATGCGTCGTCCGAGATGGCTACACATTTGCATACACCATCCCAAAGCGCAGAGGGCGGCTTCCCCCGCTCCGAATAAACCCTCTTTTGTGCAACGGGTAATTTTCTCCTAGACTTGGCTAGTAGCGACATCACACATCCCAGCGTGTCGAAGAGAATACAAAAATCAGACGAATTTAGTGCAAATCAAAGTAGGACATCGATGAAATAAACAATTGTGTAAACATTCGTGCATCAGAGTAAACTGTCTGATGGTGAACCTGGCTTGTAGGCGTGTTTGCATCATAATTCATACAATCTGTGACTATGGCAATATACTCATTTTTAAAATGTGCAAGAAAATTAAGGCTTTATTGTTTCTCGTTAAAGCTAGGTTCAATAATGTTGGTTAAGGATAAAATTAATCAGCGAAATTGACAATAGCCTGCGTTGGATGGGCGCTGACGCGATAATGATGACGAAATAGCAGTTAGTCAAGAGAAGGTGAGAAAAGCATAACTAAACAATGAATTGCGTGTGTCAAAATATTATACAAAGGGCATCAAGGTGTGTCACATTTTATGCCACAAAGTATGGAATGATTCCATACCACACCGATGTTCCATCGTGCTCCTTGCGAACTTTAGGCAAAGGTGGGTCCCCGTTAAGGTATGCCAACTCCGCTAGGAGCCCGAATGATGGAATGACAATATGCCAAGAATTTCACAACCTTGCGACTCAACGCGTCACTGAGTGCGGATTGGTTTGCCGTGACCTTGAAATCGCATTGCTGCACCATTCATTAAATACGTGGCTGGTTTGCTTTGCAGCCATATTTTGCCGACTAACATGAGCTCCGTAAGACTTTTCGCTTCAGTCATTTTGCATTTTAATGATGAAATATCAACTGGTCTTATTTTACCTTCCGGTGTGAGCAATTTGTTTCATTTGTTTCCTTAATTTCCTCTGCGTTTCTTCAATACAAGTCCATTAAATCTGCATTGAACTCACACAATTCGCAATCGAATTATTACACAAGCATTCTTAAAGGCCAAAAATTTCATATTTTCCTTTCTTTGCACTGGGAATTTAGCTTTGTTCTTCGAAACACATGCCTATGATGAATTTGTCGAACTATTTTCAGTCTATTTCGACGCCACTCGATCCATGGTACTCAGTGCCAACATGCCACGTCATTTGTTCTTCTAATTCTTGGTACAGGCTTATTCAGACGAATAGGATATGCTTCTGACCATGTGTTTATAACAAAGATACATTCCTTATTTGTTTCACCGCACTAAACTGGGTAAGCGCGTATAGCATTAAAGCATCGCTGACCCCGTCTAAATAAACATTTGTCATCCTGTTGCGATAGGCGCAATCGAAGTAGTTTTAACTTTACCGACTATAGACAGTTGAATGGTGTACAGTGGCTGGTTACTTGCGGATCGTGTGAACACATTTAACAAAAGCGTGGTAGTTAGCCAGCTACTCTACTTGTGATTGTGTTATTACTCCTACCAACCAGAAGCGTGAATCGCCAACAGACAGGGTGAAGATGAAGGTTAACCATAGAAGGGACGCTTAAGCCGTTATAACAGGCACTTGATGATGTAGCCTAATGCGCGGATATGTGGCTTTTTCTCTATAAAAATAAATTCCACCAACCCACAGGAACAAGCTGTTAATTTATCTGCAGAATTGGTGTCCCTTGACAAAGGCCTTTGCTGGAATAATTTTGGTGCATTCCGCAAATTTTATGCCGATAAAATACATGTCACGAAAATGGATTACTCATTCAAATAATTCACATTCGACTCACTTTTCAAATTATGCTGTTCGGACACCCGAAGACAGTTTGGGCCTAAACTAATCATTGTGCAGCATTCCGTTTAGAGGTCCATCTTCCCCTACATTATTGGGGTTTGTTATCATGCTCCACAATTGCAGTTATATTAGTGTCGCCTTTTGTGGTAGCATTACAGAGGAGATACTAACAAACCCTAATTGGTTCACGAAATGTAGTGTAGGGCCTGGTGCATCCTAGGTCTAATTCAAATGTCTCGTTTCTTTGACCCGACATGCCTCTCCGCCTCCAGATGACATGTCCAACAACTCAGCGCACGTTTATGAAGGACGTGCAGCAGCTGTACAGGACAATCGACGACTCCACTGGTGGTCAGGCATCCATCATCGCGGTCGATGAGATGACGGTCAAAGTTTCTCTGCGTCCCAAATCCGGCTACAACGCACATGCAGAATTCCTGCTTACTGTGAGTTTATTTCGACATTTCTGACAAAATTTGCATTTGTGTCCAAATTCACCAGAATATTTCATCGCCTACACTACATATGCTATTTGCGTGGTCAAAAGGACTGCAGTAAGTATCATTAGATAATTCTATCGTACCTAAGTGGAACTGCTTCCATTAATTTGGCAGCAGTCATTTAACGATACTCAGGTGCCTCATTTGTTAGACATTATCGTTATTTTGCACATCACTGGAGATAAATCGGAAAAATTGCACAGCTAATGATCCATAAAACGTGTTTAATCAGGGCATACTTAACTTTAGATCAAGTGTGGCACCACCTATCCCAAGGAGAGTCCTGATGTTTCCTTCCACTCACCGATATTTCATCCAAACATCGCGCCATCATCTGGTTATATATGTTTAAGCCTTTTCGACGACTGGCGAAGGTGAGTAGTTGAGTGTAATTGTCAACAGCTTCAATGTAGTAAATTTGGCAACTGGCAAATGAAATCTACAACCATAAGTAAGGAAACTGAAGGATTGCAGTATTTCGTTTTATGACCTCGGATTCCTGAACACAGATATAGTGCGTTGAAATACAGACATGAGCACCATTTTAGGCTGTACAGATGGCCTTATCTGCTTTACTTAAAGCTTCTCTTTTTGGCTTTCCTGATAT